TGGTCCAAGCCAGCTATAAATAGTTCCTCTACTGAGGTTGCTTCCTGATTCTGTGCCACACATGGGATAGGGTGATTTTTGACTGACTCCTGAATCTAGGGTTCAGCAGACACTTTTCTATTGTCGCACACTCAGCAGTCTTCCGCCTTTTCAGGATGCTGCCAAGCAGCAGCCTTGGGTGGTGTTAGAACTAGGTCTCAGTCATTTCTCTTGAAAGTTTTATTCTTTCTGTTTTGGTCACTTTCTAAAGTACCCAAGTCCTTAAAAGTAGTTTCTTGCCCATTGTTTATGCTTTTGTCTAGTTCAACTCAAATATCCTCTAAAGCAAAAGTACACGTATTTTTCTGCCAGCTTTGTTATTGGGGAAAAGGAAAGATATAAAGAAAACTAGTTAATAGCTTTTAACTATTGTTTTCATTGTTAATGCTGTGTTATTCTTTCTTGTTTACATATTGGTGTTAAAATGACTATAAAAATTCATTCTTCTTTAGAATCTTGTCTTACGCTTCCAGGTAAGTGCTAATCTGCAGTAAGCAACGTCACGACAAACCTGTCAGTGGGTGCTGGTAACTGGAGCTCATCCAGCCGCCTGCACCTCTTTCAGTACATAGGAACAGCCACTGGGTGGAGGAGGATGTGGCATTTCCTGCTTGATTCATCAATGTTTGTCCTATGACCAAAGGCTAGAACCTAAGCAAATATCCTTTGTCGACACAACTTGTCAATAGTTCATTTTTAGAGACGACAGTAGGATTTCTGGCAACTTTTTCACTTAAAATTCTTGGAGCAAAGTGGATCCAGAGATGAGAATATAATAGCTGGCAAGTTTTCATTTTATTACTTCTTTCCTATGGCTCAAACCATTGGAATTCACTTTTCACTGCTAATCTCATTAGTAAAAAATCTTCATGTGTACTTTCTCCTGCCACATGTTCCAAAGATTTGGAATTGAAATATTCCACAAACAAACAGAAGTGAACATTTCTGTAGTTAATGAACAATTTTCTAGGATCACTGGATACAAAATCCATTCCTTTTGTCTGAAAATGTAATCAAATAGATAATATTATTTGCATGAAGAGCATGGAATTGGAGTTCATAAGGCCAGGGGGATTAGTGTAAGGAAGATGAGACTAAAAACCATTTACTTGAATTTATATTTCTGATTTACACCCATTTGAGTAAGCTCAGAAAATTATTTTCCCTCTCATGGCTTCAGGAGTCCCATATTTAAACATGCTGGATAAATTGTTTCTAATTTTCTTCTAGCTCCGTCAATCTAGGATTTTATCAACCTGAAATAAAATAACTATTCCCTGATTGAGATCTTCTTTATCACTACATGTCATATATTTAGCTGATAAAAAGCAATTAATTAGTTGAAAGTCAGTATGATGTTAATTACAACAATACACTTCACAGCATATTTTTCTGGGCTCATGCTGCTCTTTGCATTACTCTTTTGTTGCAGTTTTTGCTACTATTTCTAGAAAAACCTCATGAATCTAGCCTTCCTTGAGGTGGGAAGATACGTTTTATTAGTTCATCTTTTCATGTAACTAGCTTGTCTCTAACCATCATGCCAGTGATTTTTAACTCGTACTAGGAAGGGAACGCAGAATCTCTATTCTTGTAGGCTTTATGTCGTTGACTTCTATCCTTATAGGCTATCTTTGTAGGCTATCTCCTCTATCCTTGTAGGTTTTATGTCATTGACCAGAACTGAAAGTGTCTGTCCTAATTTCCTTTTAAAACTCTTATCTTAAAGAGGCTGGCCCAGTGGCCTAGTGGTTAAGTTCACACGCTCCACTTCAGTGGTCCTGGGTTCATAGGTTCAGATCCCAGGCACAAACCTAGCACTACTTGGTAAGCCACGCTGTGGCAGCATCCCACATAAAATAGAAGAAGATTGGCACAGATGTTAGCTCAGCAACAAAAAAGGGAAGATTGGCAACAGATGTTAGCTCAGGGCCAACCTGTCTCACCAAAAAAAAGAAATTTGAAAAACTCTTATCTTAAGGATTTAAGTTTGCTTAATAAGTTTTAATGAGCAATTGCTCCATGCTAGGCATTGTATTAGCACTGGGGATATAAACAAGAACGTTAAATTGTCTCTTTTCCTAAAGAAGTCACAGTCTAGTGAGAAAGATGGACTTGGAAATAAGCAACTGCAAAACAGAGACAGCTGGTTATATGGATGTAAGGACAGGATGTTACGGGAGCATAACAAAGGAAGAATCGATTCGTATTCTGAGGGGAAAGAGGTCATGGAAGGCTTCCAGAGAAAAGTCTCACCTTTAGTGTGGTGAGAACAAATTGTTCTAGAATTTAGAGGGATGGACCTCGTCAAGTGGAAGGAAAAAATTGGAGAAGGACCAGAGGTGCCTAAAGGGAATATGTTAGGAGGAAGGGGTATGTAGGAACAAGTTCAAGAAATTATGCAAGAGTAGAAGAGAAGGAAGGCAATGCAAGAGTTGAAGCGAAAGAGGTGAACAGAGGCCTTGTATGTCAAGAGGCGTTTAGAGTTCATCTTGGGGGCTAGAGGAGCCATATAAAAGTTTTAAGCATAATACCACCAAATTTGGATTTCAGATCATTACTGTGCCTGCAGTGGAGAATGCGATGGAAAGGAAAAGACTGAATAAGGGACATCATTTACGTGGCTATGGTGGTCAATCATGAAAGGATGATGATAGCTTGAACCAAATTGTTTATCAGATTTGGTGATTAACTCTATGGAGGAAAAAAGAGAGGGAGGAAGACAATGCCTAGATTTCAGGTTTGTCTCATTTTGCTTGTTCTAGTACATTGTGGCTGCTTAGTAGGAGTTTTCAAAAAATGTAAACTGGGGAATCTAACAGATCTGTGTCTTGAAGAGGTTTTGGAGATTTAAAAAAAAAAAAAAAAAAAGACTGCTGCCAGAGATAGAGACAAGCAAGTCTGTTACCCATTGAAAAAGTCCAATTAAGAGAAAAAGAGAGTCTAAAATTCATAAAAGAAAAAAATAAGGTAAAATGCACAATGTCTATCGACTTGAAAGATGTTTACAAGTACTCTAACAGATGCAAACGGAGCCCATAGAATGGCCTGGAGGAAGACAGCACATCATCCCTCAAAATAATCCAGAAGGAGCTCTATTGTCAAAGGAAAATTCCATCAAGAATGGTAAACATTTTATTTGACATTTTTCCTGGGACTGATCTTCAATTGACTCTCTGTTTTCTCTTCATATTTGAAGAATGATTTATGGTTGCATATTATTTAGATAGAACTTTAATTTCAGTACTGGAGAGAAAAAGGGATCTGTGCGCCAGGATAGTGTCAAGGAAAGGACAAGATGTCTTATTATGCTTTTTCCTGTGAGGGAAACAGATATCATACATCATTGTGAAAGGCCACAGGGAGTGTTCTCTGTGGACACATTCACTTTATTTGCCATAACATAACTGTGTAATGCATGAGACTGGCATTGATCTAAGTCAACCAAGAAAGTCACAAAGAGTATAGGATTGGGGTACAAATGTGAGTCTTATCATATGTTTTACTCAGTTTCGAGCACAGATTAAATGTCTAGAAATGTCAAAATTTATTATTTTCTATTATGATTATCATAGAATGAGAAGAGTAGCTGGTATTTAAGAGTAGAGAAGGGAGCAAAGAGAACACAATTGAGTTACAAAGTAGGACAAGAGACAGACTCTTAGCCGTTACAGCCCACCACCTATTTTTGTAAATATGATTCTACTGGAACACAGCCAGGTAAGTTTATTTATATAACGTAAAGTAATTTGCTTACACAACAGCAGCATTGAGTGGTTGTGACAGAGACTATATGTTCAGCAAAGCCTATAACATTTGCTATTTGGTTCTTTACAGAAAAGGTTCACCAACACATAGTCTAGACAAGTGCTCTCCTTGGGTGTTTCTGAAGCCTTGAGAGAAAGACTTCAGGTGAGTTCCTTACAGGAGAAAATAAGGAGTTTGACAGTGATAGATCTATGAAAACTCATTCTGAAAATAGAATCTGAAATATCAGCTATAGAGAAATGCCTAAGTGTAGTGGGAGTGACCAGGCGGAGGTGAGAGATGCAGTTTTGCCTTCTTTACTTCCAGCTCAGGATCATTTGTCACCTCCCGGCTTAGAATTTTAGGGTTGGTTTGTGAAACCTCAGTGAGATGAGTCTGGTTTTCATTTGCCTCCCATTCATCATGATACAGCTCAAGAAGCAACTTGAAATGAGTTTACCTAATATTTAATGCCGCTATTTTGTTGTGAGTATTTTGACACAGATGACATTTCATACTCACCCCTAGTTTGTGCCTCCAAAATAAAAATCGGCTTTCATTTTTTTAAGTCCCAAGTAACGTGCTCAACACATTCACACTCTTAACCCAGATCCCTGAGCCTTGGTCCATTCTCTACTTCATTTTCCTTGATCCCCATCCCGTTCCTGACCTCTGCACCCCCCACTTCACCCTTGATCTTCACTGGGTCCCTGGGCCTTGCTCCATCTCCTTGCCTCATCTCATTCCAGATCACTCCATCCTCCACCCTACCCTAAGCCACACTTTTTCCTGGTGCTCAGAATGATTGAATTGATTTAGGATTGGTTAAGTCTCAAGTGTGGGATAACAAAGTCTCATGTGCACATTACCTAATAATCATAATCAAAATAATAATAACAAAAGAAGTGTAAAGGGTTTGTTGTTTATATCTCAGTAAAATATTCAAAATGACATAACAAAGCAACTAACTTCTCAAAAAATACCATGTCTTAGCCATGAAAATAGAGTTTCTGGATTCCCTAGCAATAACCAAGAAGGAGATACAATCTCATATGCCGTACAATCTCTAAACCCATCTCACATATTCTAGAATTTCCAAAGAAAATAACAACATTGTTTTCTCACCTTTTTTCTGAAATAATTCTGTATTTTATGCTTGAAAAATGATTTACAAAGCGTCTTTCTTTTTTCTTAACAATAAATAGGAAAAAAAACAGGATAGGGATTGATTTATTTTCACTCAGTTACAAAAGACAAAGATCACAAAATCCTACTCAAATGGGCCTAGTGGCAACTTATCTAAAAGAAAAAGAGCAGAGGAAAAATACAAAATTAACTTCTCAAATCCAAGCAGGCCTGCCATTCTGGGCACAGGTCTTCCGTAGCTGAGAACAACTTGAACCACGATGGATTCTGCACAAGCTTTCTCTCCCTCTAGAGTACGCTCAGCACAAGCCCAGAATCTGCAAGTGAACCACATAACTTGGTGCTGTCACAGGACACCAGTAGCAAGATTTGGAGCATGACAGAGTTTCGGCATTGTGGCAGGAGCTTACAAGTTATTCCATGCCACCCTACCTAATGTGCGCACTCCCTGGTGGATTTCTCACATGCATTAGTGCACTGGTTTAGTAGCTTCTAGCCACACGTAACTATTGAGCACTTGAAATGTGGCTGGTCCAAAGTGAGATGTGCTACAAGTATAAAATACATACCAATATCAAAAACTTAGTAAAAAAAAAAAAGTTTATATTGATTATCTTCTGAACTGATAATAGTTTTGGTATATTGGGCTAAGTAAAATACATTATTAAAATTAATTTTACCCATTTCTTTTGTAGCTACTAAAAATTTTGAGATCACATATGTGGCTCATATTATATTTCTATTGGACAGCGCTGCTCTAGAGACTTGCACACGTTGGTAACTCTCATTTCCTTAGTCTTCTCCCAGACTATGGGTCCAAGGCCCTGACACAGGAAATTGTCAAGAGGCCACATGATTGGATATGAGAAATTATTGCTTTGTGTCATTGGAAGGTGAGGTTAATTCATAGCTGCTTGGGCTTTATACAGCCATTGGCTGCCTGGGAGCCCATACCTCCCTACCTCTCTTCTAGATATTCTTTTCCAACTATGACAGCAAGTTGAATCTGAAAAAAAGTGAGCATTCTCTGTCCACCAATGGGCTTTGCAAGACAAAAGGGTAGATTATTCAGCTTCAGTAAAAAACAAGTTCCTGACATCCAGGCAGTGGCAAAGAAATCCCAGACATGGTGTTCTGCTGGGTTTACTTTTATTGAACAAGCAGTTGGACAGACAGCATTGTGATCAGGAGCTTTCCAGAGCACAGATTGGGTGGAAGTGTTTCTGTGCCCTCAGATCAAAGAATCCAGGAGGAAAGAGATGGAAGACTGAAAGTCAGTGAGTCCATTCCCCCAACAGTTCTGTATGGTTTTCTACAGTAAATAAGATGAGCTCTGAAGAGTTATTTGTATATACAGATGGATAAGGTAGGCAGTTCAGAATCGGGGTATACATTTTCCCTCATGGCTTTCACCAATTCTCACATCATTTGCCCTAGAAAAGAAGAGAGGTAGATTATATGCTTGAAACTCAGAGACATTACAGAAATGTGGGCTATAAATTTGTAGCTGTACCGTAGTCAAAGAAATCCACAGATTCCTGCATTCTGCCAAGAATTCACAACTTAAAATCACTTTCACATTTTATTCAATTGATTCAATGAGTATTTATTGAACACCTACTATGTACTACTCACTGAGGTACATATAAAAATGAATTCTGCTCTTGATTACATGTGACCCTGACGGTAAGAAAAAGAGGTAGGTGTCATTAACATCATTTCACAGGGGAGGAGATTGAGCATCAGAGAAGTTTAGAGACTAGCCAAGGTCTCACCTTCAGTCAGGACTTGAATCAAATTCCTCTAACATTAATGCTTTACTGTTATAGTTTGTTTTAGGCCATGAGAATTTAATCAGCTATCCTCCTTGCCTGACTCACCCATGTATTCTTATTTGAATCAACATTTAAAATCTTGAGATCAACATTTAAAACACTACATCAACATATACAATTTTTTTAAAAGGTGGTAAGGTCCTCAGGCATTTTTCTTCCATATAACTGTACAGCACCAGCTAGTATCACCTGGATCACTAGTGTCTGTATCATTCCAAACTCAAACCTCCATTTTAGTTCTCACCTCGACCCCAGGAAGTTTCTTTTGGTTTGAAAGCAGCAAGCTATGGCCTGGTTGAATCCTTGAAAATCTTTGTCATGGAATAGAGAATAGTCACTTATTCATCTCACAAAATAGTACTAGTATTTTCCTTGACATAGAAATTTCCTTCCAATGTAGCTAATCTTTACCTAATTGAGATAATGCCTTCTCCAAAGCCCCTAGTTTTCAGAATCTCTTGACGACTAAGGGATGGTGGCAGAGCATAAGAAATGAAGTCAGAAGATCTACACTGGACCAAAAATATCATACTGAATAACCCTGATAAGTTGCAGGATTCCCCCTAGGCTGATTTTCTGTAAAATGTGAAGGATAATCATCCCTGCCCTAATCACAGGACTAGTGGGAGGATGCAAAAGGAAAAAGCACATAAAACTCTAAAGAGTTACGTAAATTTTAGTAGTTATTGAATAATAGAAAATATTTATTAGATAGTAAGCAAAAGTATGGGTTCCAGGATCTTCAATCTGTTTTTCCAGAAAAGTTGTGACTGCCTGGCCTTTTATTGCATTCTTGGGATTCCAGACTCTTAGAAAATCTTCTATCCAGGAACAAAGTTTAGGTATTAGGTTCCAACCTCCAAGATATGCATCCATAGTAGTCATCAGAGCAATGCTGGGCTGTGACCCACTTGTACCACCTTGATATATCCAAGATTACATCACTGAATCAAACAGAAGGAACTGAACCCATGCCCAGGACATCTTGTGTTCTAATGATTTCTTCTATCAGCTAACATCATAAATAATTCCTATCACTAAGAATGCTTGTTATATATTTCTAGTGGAAAGAAAACACTCAAAAATGAAAGAAAGGAACTCCCTCACAAAAACTTTTGTGCTTAGTCCTGGCAAGATTCGTCATTATTTGAATAAATACATCTTACCAGTATTATCCTATGGCAAGTTCCTCATAATGTAGTTTTTTGTCAAGTTGTCTACATGAGACTGCAGCAAGGTGTGGTCTAAAGTGTGGTCAATAGGACTTGCATAAAGATTCTTTTTTACTGTTTTATGATACATGTAACCAGGTGTGTTTGTGAGATGGGGGACAGTATATTCTGTGGATACAATGAGGAGCAAACCACTAAGAGTTCACATGTAATGAGATAGCAAACACAATGGAGCAAAAATTTAAACCCTCTCTTCATGGGTGTGTAAAGACCCAGAGTAGATAGATGACTTTGTCAAGCCCACACGAGAAAGAAATGAAGGTCTCCTGATGTCATCCAGTAGTCTGTCTACTCGATCCTGCCTTCCAGCTGCTAAAGTGAAACCAGAAACACCTAGCGAATAGCTCTTGTTTTTCTGGTTTCCCATATCAAGGCTCACTGAGCAGTTCTTTTGAATACGGCCTTATCTCCTATTACTTAAGATCCCCAAAACTGGCAGAATAGTTTCCAATTCCATCATTGCCAAAGCTTTTGTAGCTGTGGAATGGAGTAAAAAAAGTTGTGAATAATAATAAATAATTATTAAATATAATTTATTAAAATATTGTTTGCTTTTATTAAATAGAAATATATTTTAAAACATCCAATGTAAATTTTTTGAAGTATAATTCACTAAAATTATTAAAAATAAATAAGCACTGTGCCAGAATCTGTTTCTCTAGTTCATACTTTAGACTCTTCTCTTTCTCTAACTTCATACTTTGGACTCTTAGGCATAAAATAATAGTGATAATAACAATAAATTCCATTAATTTGTAGACACTGTGCCAAATGCTTAAAAGTCAACATTTATTGAATATTTTCAATAACTTGGTGTGATCTTTGTTTAGATGTTTATGAGATTTTCCAAAGGTCTCATAGGTGAAGAACATCAAAAATGAGAATTTGAACCCATATTAATCTGGTAACATAAAATTTTATCTTATTTGAAAATTTCTTGTTTTTCTCCAAGTTACATATCATCTTGCCTTAGAAAGAGATTCCTCAAGTGCAATCACCAAGGAGAATGTTAAACTCAATAATGTGTCAGAATATCCTTGCAGGGATTTCAAAGAAAAGGTCAACTTTTCATGTTGGGAGACAGTTTAATGCAATGTAAACTGCAAGGATCCAGGGGTTACCCAGAAATGGTTCAAATCCAGCTCTGTCATGATCTGACCTCTCCTGGTCTCTGTCTCATCTTTTTATTATAGATCACAAAACTAAAACCTACTTTGCGAAAGTGTTAGATTAGGGACATTGCTCATAAACAATCTATTAATGATCCCAGTAAACATTTAAAAATGTTAACTACTGTATTATTATTCCCACTTATTTCAGTAATTACTGAATTATCTTCACAACAAAGACATAGACAATTCTAGGGTTACCTGACCCAGTATCACGTCCCTGGCCAGAGAAATGTCCATCACCCAGTACAAGAGAACAGAAGCAGAACTGACTGGTTCTAACACTGTAAGCACGAATGCCAATGTACTTACAGATGCTGGCACGCTGGGAACTGTGGTTCCTGGGGTGCTGCTGTCCTCACACCTCCCTTCACTGCGTATGTGTGTATTAGTCTGGCGCATTCTAAAACAGAACAGAGGAGGTTTCCAAGATGGGAAGACTCACAGTTAAAATGAGAAAAAACAAGGGTCAATGTGGGTGACATCTGGGCATCAAACCAGAACTGAAAAGAGGGGTAGGCCCTGGGATCTGCATTCAACTGTTTTCCAATAGGCATCATCCAGGTTTAATCTCTCTCTTCTGATTTAGCTCGAGATTGTTCCCCAGCCCTGGATCTATCCCGTCACATTTCATTCACCTCTATACTCATAGAATTGTTGAATGTGGGAAATAAACTTTGAGATCATCTAGTCTAAAAGCTGCTATTTTATAGATGGGAAAATTAAGTACTAGAGAAGTTTGACTTTATTGAATACCTATGATGTGATTTTGGGATTAAAAGATATAACATATTTTATAAAATATATTTTATGTAAATATATAAATATATAAAATATAGAGAGAATATAGGTTCTCTCTATATTTTACAAAATAAAACTGTACAGAATCATACAGTCTAAATTTTATAGTTGAAAAAAATCTTAAAAGGTATGAATTTTAGTGCCTCTCCCTTAAGAATTATTATCTATCAAACACCTACTTGTTTGCCTCTGGTGATGGGAAACTCACTCTGCATCAAGGCCATTCATTTTTGTCTTTGAACATTGCTCAAGTTGAAATTGCTTCCCCATATCTTCCGCTAAGACCACAGAAGTCAACACTGTTCCTTTTTGCCTGGGATAGCTTGAATTTTCTCTTTATAATACATACTCCCAATTCCTTTAGCTAAATAATCCATCCTGAAGCTTGCCTTAGTAATCTTTTCATCATTGGAGTTTCTGACTCTACAGTTCCCCTTGATAGAGTATTGTGGTCTCTACAGTTCCCCTTGAGTAGACTTGTTAGGGGTTTATACAGTTAACAGAGTGCTTGGCTCTGACATTTACAATAAAGAGAAGTTGAAGGACTTCCGGGCTGAAGATAAGTCATATATAGCAACAAACTCCTGAATGGTTGTACTTATTCCTTAAACAGGGACTTCTTAATTGTTAAAACTCTGTAAGATCCACGGATGGATTTCAACAGATTTATGTGCCCACAGGTACTATGCAGACAAGCTGTTAATGTCACATCATTTTCTTTTCTGGAAAGAGAGAACTTCCTCCGTATTATAAAAGGAATCTTTGATTCCCAAATGTTTAAGGAACTACTGCCTTGGATACAACAATAGTGTAGTAGGGAGCAAAGAAACCGTGTTTAGGTCCGAATCAACAAGGTTAAAATCCTGTCTGATCTACTCGCTGGCTTTGTGACTTTAAACAAGTTCCCTGAACGCTCTGAGCCTCAGATTCACCTCAGAACAGTGAAGATAGAACTACTCTATAGCAGGTAGTGAGGATTCAGTGAGAGGGCCTTACCTACAGATGTAAGGTATAAAGCATTCATATTCAGGTTTTATCCCAAATATATCAACTGTGGAGTGGCTGTTTCTTTTATGAGTAATTTGACTTAAAAAGAAACAAATGTAAGTTCAAATATTTTCCCTGAATTGGAAAAGCAGGATATCAGGCCATGCTCACATTCTGGGCCTTGCTCACAGTGTCCTAAGAAGGATAGGCTTCTTAGACATACAAGGCTGCAATGTAAGTCTGGGGTGGGGTGAGGTGGAAAAGTCAAGATTTGCCATTATGCTCTTATTTAAAGCTGGTCAAATGAAGCTAGGAAAAGGTAAGGAATATGTATGAAGATAAGGACAAGATAGCATTTGAACAGAAAAGCAACACAAAGCTACAACCAATAACAGAAGTATTAAAATGAATCTCTTGTATTGAACTTAAAAATTCTTCTCAATAACCCTGTGAAGTCAACTGGCTCAGAGAACTGTCTCCACTTCTCCAATGAAGAAATTGAATCTCAGAAGGATGAGATAATATGTCCACAGATGGTAACAAATTTGAGAACAGACACAAGGTCTTCCATTTGCTCCAGTGCACTTTCTTTTGCTTTATACACTTCCTGTTCCGAGAAGACTTACAGGATGGGAAATATGTGCCTATCAGGTAGTCATAAGGCCCATTAGAGATTATAGGTTGGGCTCTCTGTATAGCAATGATTCTCAAATTTTTTTCTCTTTATGCAAAGGATGGATGATGTTCACACTTCCATGAGTGTACATGGGCTTATAAAGATTTTCTCTAATTGTTGTAACCTCATGACTTTTTCCTTTCTCTTCCACTCAGTAAAGTACATTAGCACTTTTATTAAAGAGATAACCTTAAATCCTCCCTATTTTATAAATGACAAAGATCATTCACAAAATCTGAATTTTTAACTGCTATTACTAGCAAATTAGTTGAAACATACCTCAAATTGATATCAGTACCCTACTGTGGGTCAACCCTGTGGTCAAGAGCCTCTACGCTGGAAGATAGGATGATGTGACTTGTATACTTACAGATTTTCATGACAGAGCATGCAGGGATTGTTGTACGTCTGGCCATCATCACCACAGACAGGCTGTAAATTCTTTGGGCAAAGGTAACCTATCTTGGGCAATACTCGGTAGTGTTTGCACATCTCAGAATCCTGAAAAAGCAAAACATAAATCAGATTTACTCAATGACACTCAAGAGGGATGAGTTTGGGAAAACCTTTTGATATCCTCAGCGACATTTGAATAAATGACTAGTAAAGGAATTGTAACATAGGTCATACAAATTCACATGTTTCTTTTCACATCATTATTAGGTAGATTTAGCCTCCTGGATTTGGCTTCTTTTTACAAGGGAAGATAAGTAGCTAAACCAAAAAACAAAGAAGAACAAAGCAGTAAGAAAGCAGAAACCTTACATGATATCAGGCACAGACAAACTGAGGCACACCCTTAGGATGAAAACAAGGATGGTAATCATGCAAGAAATAATTTCTTTTATTACTTAAATGAAGGCACTGGTTATATACAATCTAGAAAGGAAAGACTCAGAGGCAAATACTAGTTAATTGCATGGGCTTTTGAGTCCTAGCTCTGCCACTAACTAGAGGATTGATTTATTAAACTACTCTGAGTCTTAGTTTCTCATCTGAAAAACGTGAATAATAGTTCTTGCCTTATACTGTTGTTTTAGGGGATTTAAATGCACGTATAACACAGTGTTTGGCACACACAAAGTGTTCGGTATATGTAGTATGCTTGTCAGTATATTTCCCAAGGTAAAAAAATTCTCATGTTGAAAAAGGAACATATTTGGGGGGCTGGCCTCGCGGTGCAGAGGTTAAGTTCACACGTTCAGCTTCAGCGGCCCGGGGTTCAGTGGTTTGGATCCTGGGTGCAGACATGACACCTCTTGGCAAGCCATGCTGTGATAAGCGTCCCACATATAAAGTGGAGGAAGATGGGCATGGATGTTAGCTCAGGGCCAGTCTTCCTCAGCAAAAACAGGAGGATTGGTGGTGGATGTTAGCTCAAGGCTAATCTTCCTCAAAAAAAAAGAACATATTTGTTCTTTGTAGTCTTTTGGAAGTATGAATTCAATAATAATAATTTTATTAATTAAAACAAAATAGGACCAAAGGAAAAAAAGAGATAGAGAAACTTTAAAAACAGGATTACAGAAGACTTAAATTCCATGGTGTCAGCAATTACATTAAATATTAATAAGACTAATTATTCCAAAGACAGGGATTGCTAAACTAGAAAAAACAAAAAGACTCAACTATATAATGTTTACAAGAAGTATACTTTTAATATATCTTTATATTTCAACCAATAAGTTGAAAGTAAAAGGATGGAAAATATATACATGCAAATGCTCATCATTTAAAGGCTAGTCTATCTATATTAATATCACACAAAGTAGAATTTAGGACAAGAAGTATTAGCAGAGATAAAGATAAGGATTTCTTTTTTATTTTAGTTATTTATTTATTTTTAAATTTTTATTTTTATAGCAGTGACATTGGATGATAATATTATATAACTTTCAGATTTACATGATGATGTATTTCAAATTCTGTGTAGATTACATCATGTTCACCATCCAAGGACTAATTGTAACACATCCCCACACATGTGTGTCTAATCACCCTTTCACCCTCTTCCCTCCCCCTTCCCCTCTGGTAACCACCAATCCAATCTCTGTTGTTACATGTTTCTTTGTCATTGTTTTTATCTTCTACTTATGAGTGAGATCATATGGTATTTGACTTTCGCCCTCTGACTTGTTTCACTTAGCAGAATACCCTCACAGTCTATCCATCTTGTCACAAGTGGCCAGATTTCATCATTTCTTATGGCTGAGTAGTAGTCCATTGTGTATATATACCACATCTTCTTTATCCATTTGTCCGTTGATGGGCACCTAGGTTGCTTCCAACTCTTGGCTATTTTGAATAATGCTGCAATGAATATAGGGAATGTATCTTTATGCATTTGTGTTTTCAACTGCTTTGGATAAATACCCAGCAGTGGAATAGCTGGGTCATACGGTAGATCTATTCTTAATTTTCTGAGGATACTCCATACTACTTTCCACAGTGGTTGCACCAGTTTACACTTGTACCAGAAGTATATGAGGGTTCCCTTCTCCCCACATCCTCTCCAACACTTGTTGTTTCCTGTCTTGTTAATTATAGTCATTCTGACTGCAGTGAGGTGATAAAGATGAGGATTTCTAATGATAAAATAATAGGTTCGTTAAGAACAATCTCAAACATGTATGTACCTAAAGTATAGTTTTACAATATATGAGGCAAATATTGACTGACTGAAAGGAGAAATAGGCAAATTTGCAAATATAGATGGAAATATTAACATAATTTTTCAGCAATTGATAGCACATAAAGATCAAAATACGGAATATTTGAAAAACAAAATTAACCAGTTTGATCTAAATGATATTTACAGACCTTTATATCCAACAACTGCAGACTACACATTCTTGTCCAGTGTACACAAAATTATTGCTAAAATAGACCATATTCTAGGCCATTAAGCAAGTGTCAATAAATTTCAAAGAATTAAAGTCATAAAATGTAAGTTCTGTGACCACAGTGCAATAATACCAGTAACAAATATGATAACTATAAAGTTCCTAGGTATGTAGAAATTAAGCAACACACTTCCAAATCACTCATGACTCAAAATAATCATAATGGAATGTAGAAATGTTTTGAAGTGAATGATAATAAAAATATAAATTCTCAAATAGCAGCAGCTAACGCAGTGATTTGAGGGGAAGTTATAACTAAATGCATAATTAGCAAAGAAGAAAGTTTTAAAATCAGTGATCTAAACTTCCATCTCAAGAAGCTAGCAAATAATAAGCAAATTAAGCTTGAAAATATAAGAAAACGAATAATAAAGAGGAGAAATTTATGAAATAGAAAACAGAACAAAGCCAAACATCGGTTGTTTGAAAAGGTTAATAAATTGACACACCATTTGCAAAATTGCCAAAAAGGCAAGAAAGATATGCTACCAATATTAAAAATAAAAAGGGTGTCACTATATAAATATAGATATTAAAAGGATAATGTGGAAATGTTATAAATAACTATATGCCAATAAATTTGGCAACTTAGATGAAATTAAAAAATTCCATGAAAACCACTGTCTGAAACAGAGAAGAAATAGAGAATTTAATAGTATGATATCTGTTGATGTTCATTTCAGAAGCGTAAAGAAGTATTTGTTTGCTAGTTTGTTTTGATGAATAATTCAGACATCTAAATGGACTGCTTTAGATTGTAGTCTGTTCTAGATTGATAGAGATATTCAGGGAAAATTTAGACAAGCACCTTCTATGACTCACTGGCAAAGGTAACACTGAACTAGGTATATCCTTAGTAGTTTTCACGTATTTTCTGCTACAAGGTTCGAAACTACTGGGATAAAGCATTACAAAGGAGCAAAAAAGACAGAAGCCTTCTTTTTTTCTTACATAGTACATCAACTCAACAAATCCTGATTGACTCCACCTTCAAAATAGACTGAGGATCCAACCACCTCTCATTATGACCACTATGACCAAGGTATAAACTAGCGTCATCTCTTCTGTGGATTACTGTCATGGTTAACTAAATAGCTGTCTAACTTTTGCTCTTGCCTCCCTGCAGTGTATTTTCAATACAGCAGGCAGAATTATTCTTATAAAACATAAACCCAATCACATCACTCCTCTTTTTAAAATCTTCATTCAGAATAATGGCCAACATCTTTAAAACAGGCCACAAAATCCTACATAACATGGTCTCCTGTTACTTTAATGACTTCTTCCTCTGTAACTGTCTCTGAGGTCACTCCATTTCAACTACACTGCTATACTGTCCTTCAACCCTTTCCTCAGCACTTTGCTGTTCCTCTTCTTGGAATGTTCTCCCCTCACTTACACATATGGAATCAACCCCTTTAGGCCTTGGTGCATATGTCACCTTCTCTGAGAACTCTTTCCTGTACAGGCTTTAAAACTGAATCCCTGCCTTATACCATATCATTTTTCTACTTTATTTCTCCCTTAGTATTACATTTCATTTGTTCACGTTTTCTATTATCTATGTTCTTTTAATATAAACTTCAAGGGTGTAGAGAGTTATGTCTGTTTTTTTTTATGGGTATTGTTCTCCTACACACATGTAATGCTTGGAAAATAGTAGATGCTCAACAAATATTCGTAGAATGAATAAATGGATGGCTAAGTGGATGACAAATGAATAACGAATGTGGTTCTTTTCTCCAAGAGAAAGCTCAGCTCAGAACCAGATTGTACATTAGGAAGAAGCATGATGGGCTTCTCATCTACTGGGGATATCTTATTTCTTGACCTAGGTGCGAATATCACAGGTGTGATCACTTTGTGATATTTCATTTAGCTGTACACTTATGATATGTGCACTTTTTCTATATGACTATTATACTTCAGTAAAATGTTTTTTTAAAAAGAACAGATTTTATTTTTCACAATAGCCAACATATGAAAACAGTCTAAGTGTCCATCAATGGATGAATAGATAAAGAAGATGTGTAACACAATGGAATCTTATTCAGCCATAGAAGGAAGGAAAAAGAAAATCTTATCTGTGACAACTTGCAGGAAACTTGAGGGCACTGCACTAAGTGAAATAAATCAGACAAGAAAGACAAGTATTCTATGATATCACTTATATGTGAAATCTGAAAAAGCCAAACTCAACAGAAACAGAGAATAGAATGGTAGCTACCAGGGGCTGGGATTGGGGGAATTGGGGAGACACTGGTCAAAGGGTACAAACTTTCAGTTTCAAGATGAATAAATTCTGGGACTCTAATGTACAGTATGGTGATTATGGCTAATAATACTGTATTATAAAGTTGAAAGTTATTAAGTCAGCAAATCTTACATGCTCTCACCACAAAAAAGAAATGGTAATTATGTGAGGTAATGAAGGTGTTAGCTAACCCCATGGTGGTAATCATTTCGCAATATATAAGTGTATTGAATCAACATATTGTACACCTTAAACTTACACAATGTTATGTATCAACTATATCTCATTAAAGCTGGGAAAAAAAAGAACTGATTTTGTGAATAGCTCTTCTCCATGCTTAGGCTTTTCTAGTGTAGTGCCTAATCTACTAGCAATACGTAATTAGTATTTCACTAGTGCAATTCACCCATTATCCTAGCTGAATTGGGCAAATAATTAGATAAAATTCATGTTTTATACCTTTCTTTCTTCTTTTCTAAGTCTCCCTTCTTTTCTAAGGGACCAGGTCCCTTCTAGGGCTCAATTTGAGATTCCACTTGATAAATATACTTCATTCTCTCATATCCCCTTTGTTCCTTTCTATTCCTGACTTTGGCAAAGCTCTAAAAAAAGCAATCTGATTAGGCTAACTTACACTAAGGTATACATTGCTGGTGGGCATCAGCCTATATTTTCAATAAAAAGTTTTAATTACTATGAATTGCTGGTTGGCAGAATTTCACAAGCATGAACACGCTCAGCATTGTAGTCCAGGCTATTGGGAAAAGAATTTGGTTTGGGGAGAAAAAATGAGAGGAAGCTAGGTGAGGAGCCTTTTTGGTCTGCTGAAATTACAGAATTAAGGCTCCTAACTACTGATTTGACCACAGGTGCAAGTCACATTCACTACACACCCACTTTTTAAAATTTCACAAATGTACTAAATTGGCTTGGAGCAGGGCTAAGAATCTCAAAGTGCACAGAATAATGCATTGATGAGTCACCCCAGACTCTCACTAAGCATGAACTACATTTAATCCTCAAAGGACTTGAGGCTGTACTAAATCAGCCTTTTCCAGACCTTTCTATGGAAATGAGGTTTATGGAGGGCAAGTGGCAACAGGACCCCCAAATCAGAAAATTAAGTTAATAAGTAGATTTTCAGAAACAGACACTCTTACCAGAGTATTGAGGGAATCTGGGCTCTCTTCCTCTTCAGAAGATCTAGTGTGGGATGGCTTTTCTCGAATTCCTGCCCTTTCTGAAGCTTCTTTTTGACTAGAGGAAAAAACAAAAAGTAACTTAAAGTTATATCCACAAAGATCAGCTCCTATAACTTCCAGTTGAAAGTTAAGTAATTCTAATATAATATGATAGAACCATAGAAAATTCACCAGAGAGTGACCTAGATGACATGTTAAGAAAAGTAAACAACTGGGAGCTGGCTTAGAGCTCTCCTCACTTAATAGATGTTCAACTTTGGACCAGTTGCTTAAATTCCTCAAGCTTAATTCAGTGGAACATAAAAAGAGGATGGTATTGGTAATTCCTGCCTCAAGGAACATACAGCAGTCCCCCCATATTCGCAGGGGATACGTTCCAAGACCCCCAGTGGACTCCTCAAACTAAAGAAGTACTGATCCCTATATATCCTGTTTTTCCCTACACGTACATAGCTATGACAAAGTTAATTTACCAGTTAGGCACAGTAGGAGATTGACAACAATAATTATTAATAAAATAAAACAATTATAACAATATACTGTAATAAAAGTTAAGTGAATGTGGCCTCTCTCTCTCTCAAAATATCTTCTTGTACTGTACTCACCCTTCTTCTTGTGATGATGCGAGATGATAAATTGCCTATGTGATGAGACGAAGTGAAGTGAATGACATAGGCATTGTGACATAGAATTAGGCTACTATTGACCTTCTGACCATATGTCTGACCATATGATCACCTGCTTCCGGATCGCGGTTGACTGCGGGCAACTGAAACCGCAGAAACTAAAACCGCGGATAAGGGGAAACTACTGTACTGGAAGAGCTAAAAATATACTGATTATTGTTATTGTGTCCATAGTGGTTTTCACAACCGTCGTCATCATCATTATCTATCGTGTCCATTGGTCCCTAAATATGGTTGTCCATCAGAATAATCGAGAAACCCTTTCTAAAAAAGTTTCTCTAGCCCTGGAGATTCTGACAATACATTTTGGGGTGTTAATTCTGCATTTTTAAAAAATTTCTCTGTTCAGTCTGATCTAGCTGTGGAACAAAGATCTGGAACAATTTCTTGTAACTATGACCCTGATAGTTGGAAAAAACATTTTTCTTTCAAGTGACACAGTTAGTAAACGTCATGGTTGGAACTTACAGCTGGATTTCCTGTCTCCAAGTCCAGGTGGTCTTTCTCCTCTATCAGGTGTTCTCAGTTTAAGTGACTTGATCTAAAGACTTATTTTAAGGACCCCGTGGATTCATGAGCACGTATTTATTAAATCAGCAGTTTCTAAAAACACAGTTGCCCCACTAACTGAAGGGGTAACAAGATCCTCTTACTCACAAGATAGTTCTGCACATGTAGCACTTGTTTTTATATAACTTTCCATCAATGCCACGCACGGGATCATTCTCTCGAGTGCACATGAGCTCGTCATTCCTCACGTACTGCCGAAACTTGCTGCAGTTATCCTAGAAAATGAGAAAGGGGAAGTGAACATGGCCTTTTCTGTTCTTGGCTTGGTGGCTTTCTCAAATTTGGTTTTAGGAAGTCCTCTCTTGGCTCTAGGCTCAGACTCACTGCACTCCTCCTGACAGTGGAGGCCAAGGAACGCTCAGACTGTCTAAATTTTCTGTCCTCCACTTCACTCTGAACCTCTCTGCACTGGTCCTGGAGACATACGGAAACATAAAACAACACTCGATAGACCTCCTTGTCTCCCCCGCCCTTTCCTTCCATCCTTCCTATTCTCCATTTCCCACATGAGGCGTACTCTTGACCAAAGGGCAATCTCACAGGAATCTAACTCCACAAATGTGATTATCACCGTTAAGTTTGAAGGAAGAAATCTTTGCAGTCCTAAAAAGAAAATACCAAAGGAAGCATCATGCATGCACACTATTGATTCGTTGATGCTGAAAAAACCATCCGGGGAAAAGAGAAAAAATACATCAAGGACAGAAGCTAAAGAGGAGGCTTTAAGAGTAGTGTATATTATCTGAACTGTTAAAATCATTATCAACAAGCTACCTAAAGCCTCATTTCACGTTCAAAGCATCAGAGATAAGCATGCAGTAGAGGTGGTAAGGAATTTTAGCCTCTAGTTTTCAATTCACATTTCTCCCAAAGAGGAGAGACTAAGGCAATAATTGACACACACTGTAGGAGAATTCTCTACAAAACTGAGAAAAACATTAAACTTCAGAGCCAGAAAACAATCTTGTTATAACCCAAAGTGACAATATTGACAAAATCGATTTTCTTTGAAGCAAAAGATTAGCATCTTTATTATTATGAAAGAGAATGCAACATTCTGAGGATGAAAAGTGAAATCGTTATCTTGATATCTTTTAAGAAATAACCTTTGCATCTTTTGAGGGCTTGGCATTTGATTTTTCTTCATCGTTCTTTTTTCTTTCACTAGCTTCTCGCTCACTGCAGAATAAAAAAGGATAGGGTAGTTTTTCCAGGGTTATTATTGATTTTTTTTTAACCAAGTATTTCTTCAATTCTGAACATAAGCAAATATAACACTATTTTCTCATATCTAAAAATATTTAAACTTTTGTTTTTTTACGAATGAGCTCTGATTGTTGGAATTTGCATAGCATATTTGTGGCAATGCTATAAACTTTCATAAATTCAGTTAATAGCTTCTCATCCAGAATGATATGATCCTAAAAGGCAATTACTTTCTTTTCCTTAATTGAACACATTTATGGCTCTCATATAAAGAGTTGCTTCATTTCTCCTTTTTACTTTTCTTCTTAAATTACAACTAAACTCTCCATTATTGATTCTCCTTAATGTAGAGCGCTTTAAAGTTTATAAACATCTTTTAAAATATTATCTCCTTGAATCCCTATGAAAACTATATTGTGTTGTTATTCTTCCCTTTATATATACGAGAAATTGAGTTTCTGCAAAGTGAACTGGCCTGTTGTGTCACTTAGCTGATAAGCTTCCTCTTTGAAAGTCCGTGATTTGGGTCCTATACAATAGCTGGCTCCCTATCTCATGTGCTCCAGGTATGATTATGCTTCTCATCATCAAAATAAAAATTTCTTGTGAAAGTGCTTCAGAAACACTATCTTCTTCTAAAGCGAGGAGCTATTGTTATATTTTTAATGTGATGCCAATGCCTTAGGTTTTAAATTAAGGGGAACTATTTTCTGGCAAACAGGCACAACATATCAAACTGATCAGTAAACCTCTTCACGTACAAGATGCTCTGACACATGGCACACTTGTTGACGTGCATCTTGCCATCTGGACCTCGAACAGGGTTATTTTCTCTGGTGCAGATAAGCTTTCCTTCTCTCACCATGTTCCGGAATTCGTGACACTGATCCTACCAATAGGAGCAAAAGAAAGATGTTAATGCGATTGTCTGATCTTTAAAAGGGAAAACACAATTGGTTGGTTAGATATAAACTCCTAACACTTGAACGGTAAAATAAAATCCCAGAGAAAATGAAATTTAAAGAGGCAATGTGTTTTAAAGTCACTTTATTCAATATCTTCTTAAGGAGTTTGAATCTTCTCCATAGCATCCCCCTCAAATAACTGTCTTGCCCCCATGACATTTCACTCCCACCTAAGGCAGGCCATGCAATTTTCATACAATTTTCACTAGGGTGAGCCCCAAATCTATCTCGCTGTAACTCTACTCATTACTCCACTCATAGAAGCCCAGAAATGAACTGAAAGATGCTCTTTTGCAAGGCATATAAAGATGTAGACTTTAGCTTTGTCCCTCAAGAACAAAATTTTTAAAAGATTTTCTATCACATCTGTATTATATGCCAGGCACTTTGTCGTGTTCTCTAATGGACTTCCTTTGGTTGTCATAAAAAAGCTGTAAGATAAACACTCATTATCCCCATCTTGCAGATGAGAAAAATAAGGCTCAGAGAGATTAAGTCATTAAAATCGACGTTGGAATTGTGATCAGAAACCTGCTAACAATCGGGCTATATTCCTTGTCTTCTTTGCTTTTACCTGGCAGGGAATAAAACTCCTCTACATTTGTAAGAAGATGGAGGGGACTTTTTGTTCACTGAAAAATAAGAAACTTAAAAGAAGCCAATGGAAATGAGTCCCCAGAATCTGGCCTCTATTAAAATTTTTGGACATCTGTAGAAGTTTGTCTTAAACTTCCTTTAAGCTGAAAGAGCCAAAGTAGAGATATAGGAAGATTACCTTGAAAAATACTGCTAGTAAACAGATTGTAGTTATCTTCCTTTATTTGAACTCTGATACCCGTGAGCAACTCCAGACCTACTTTCATCTGCAGAATTTAAAAAATTCTATGGAATTGAATACCTGATCAATATATTAAATGTCTCAGAGCCATCATTTTTAGAAGTTACTAGAATTATTTCTTTTTCCAGATGCCCCAAATACCACATACGTATATGTGTATGATTGCATCCATCTGCCTGTATTGCAACTTTTGCTTTATGGATGCAATCTCTGGCCCTTTTGTTTATTATGTGTGTAGTTAACTTCTCTGGGTTTCTCTCAACTGTAAAATTGGAACAATATTACCTTCTGCATAGATTTTGGGGAGATTTAAATATGATGATGCGTGTGCTTTGGAAAGCTTATTTTACTTTGCATATGTAGATAAGACCATAACTCTCTTTTGCCACACATACACAAAATATCTGGATTTCTGTATATACATATAGATAGAGTATTTTTTGTTTGAAATTCATAAAATAGATATTTAAAAAATAAAAATAAATTGACCACAATTATAAATAGAATAAATGGCCAGTAGAGATCATTTGAAGTTCTGCAATAAACACTTTTCTCATAGCCATTCATCTGCCAAAATGCCGTCTACCAAAACAGAGATTCCCACAATATTTTTAAAACATGATAATTACTACTAATGTTTCATTTTGTTTAATCAGTATAGATCTAATGAAAAATTTCCCCCCTAAGGAGAAAACCTTCGTGGGGAAATGTCATTATTTCACTTTTCTACTTGAAGTCCATAGATGGATTAGAAGACATTGTGCTGTGTCATATTCTACATTTTGCTGTTGTAAAGTATTGAACATTATTCTTAAAGCCCCAAATTGAACACAAGATGGCACTGGAATGTCAACTCAAGAATTTATCAGCTGGAGCTCCACATTTTTGATACTTGCTTTCTTGTTTGTAATTTTGGTGACTCTTTGCTTGTTTATTTATTTGTCTTAAAACTTCAGAAAAGAAATTCACTTGATAATAAGAATAAGTTGACAATTGTCACTGGTCCTACTAATGTGTGATAATTGCATCAGAGTTGCTCTGCAGGCATTGGATAGCATGCTATTTCTTTGCAAGATCTGACCATGGCTTGCTTGTTTACCATTATATCCACAATGATTGAGACAGTGTAGGCATTCCATAAATATTTGCTGAATGAATTGACCATACAACCAACTATGCAGATTTAAGTGTCAGCATGTCTGACATATATGACCTGTTTTTCATTGCTCCTTTCTTCTGTGTTTCTTCTGTTTTCATCCTCTTTCTTTTTTCTTTCAGCTGCTTCCCTTTCCCTGAAAGAAAAAATGGAAATAAACATTTCAACCAAATTAAACACCTCATTAAGTACTAGATCTGCTTTTAAAAAAACCATCATTTTCTCAAACTGATGAGAAATGATTATTATATGTTGAGCCTCACAATTAAAGACCCATTTTTGAAAAATACTTACAGTTTTTCCTTACACATAGCACACTTATTGCCATGCATCTTGCCTTCTGGACCCCGGACAGGATCACTTTCTCGTGTGCAGATAAGTTGTCCATTTTTCATTTGGCTTCTAAACTCATCACATTCATCCTGAAAAAAATGGAAAGATTATATTAGAAATGCTGTTTTCACATAGTATTTAATTGGGCTTGAAAATCTGAAGATTTCAACTCAAGAATCAGGCAGCCACTTAACCTTGCTGTGGGAGACACTATAACGTCCGATGAAGACATCCATGTCCTAATTCCTGGATCCTATAAATATGGTGCCTTACACGGCGAGGAGGAATTAAGGTTGCTTAATCAGTTTGCTAATCAGCTGACTTTAAAATGGAGAGATTATTCTGGATTATCTAGGAGGGCCTAGTGTAATCACAAAGCTTCTTATGAGTGCAAGAGGGAGGCTGGAGAGTCAATGTCAGAATGATGCAGCATGAAAAAGATTCCGATGGCCATTGCTGAATTTAAAGATGGCCACAAGCCAAGGAATACTGGCAGCTTCTGGAAGTTAGAAAAGGCAAAGAAACAGGTCCTCCCCTAGAGTTCCCACAGGGAGGAGGGCAGCCTTACTGACATCTTGGTTTTAACACAGTGAGACCCGTTTAGGACTTCCAAACTCCAGAAATGTATGATAATAAATTTGATTTATTTTAAGCCACTGTCAGTATCAATTTGTTACAGCAGCTGAACCTCATTTTGCCCATCCATAAAAGAAGTTTAAGAAAACATTTTTGACCAGGCTGTTGAGAGAATTAAATAAACTATTATTCGTAAAAGTGCTTTGTAAAGTGTTAGACTGAAAGATTTCCAGGTGGGATTAATTTTCTACACTGGACAAGTTACCACTGGTAATCTAGCTAATGACGGCTTCTGACTTTCGAAGGGTAGGATCTTGCTTGGCAACATTGACATCCTCTTGCCATATTTTTGATAGGCAAGTGTTGACTTACAGAAAGCCCATTCTTGCCAAAACCTAGTTAATGACTCACTTTTTTGGATGCTGAGTCAGTCCCATTTGATCTGACACCGGAATGCTTATTTTTTTCCTCTGCTTCTCTTTGCCTGGGATAGAAAAGAGCCAATAGTCATCTTGTTAACATACTCAGGTTTGGAAGATGCCTTAGAGCTTACGTATCCTAAACTACTTCCTTCATAAAGAATCTCTCTGCATATCCCTGAGATGGACAGTTAGATTGGTTATCAAGAAACTCCTTCATCGCAAGGCAGATATTCTAGGGAGATCAACTCAAGTAATTTCAGTCTCCTTTATTTGTGTCCAAATTTATCTCCCTATAACTTCCATCCTTTAGTCTTATTTCCCATTCTCAGGACAATATAGAACAAGCCTGGTAAATCCGTTACTTATTCCCAATATTAATCCTTCAGATATTTAAAGGCAAGTTTCAGCTCTCCAAGTCCAGCTTCCTCAATTCTTTCACCTTTTCATCATAAACTGTCATTTTTCATTCCAGATCAACTCACCATTCTAGTTCCTTGATTTGTAGGTCAGCCCATTATAATATTATTTCTTAAAGTGTGGAGGTCAAGATAGGAAGAAGACAAGCACTCTAGAAAGTACCTTAAGATCATGGGTTTATTTTAAAACCTCTTACCTTTCTGATAAAATATTTATGCCAGAGGTCCCTAAGCTTTCATATGCGTTAAGAAACATCTGTGAGATTTTTAAAAATTCAGATTCACTGACCATCAAAATATTCTTATTGACAAGATCTGGATTGGGACTCAGTAACCTGATTTTTAACAAGAAAGCCAGGTTTTCCCAAGATCCAAATACTGTAAAACTCTGGTACATCTATTTCTCTTTCAAAGTTTCATTCGATTTTGCATATAAAACAAACATGTATGTAACATGACATATATATGTGTGATATGATACGTATATGATGTATAACAAAATATATCCTGAAGATTCAAACAAGTATAAAGTCATGACATTTTAACCAAGTAAACTATTGGATAAAGACAGTACTTATAATGATTCAGTTTGGTAGAATTCTGGTTATAGTCCTGGCTCTGCTCAAAAACTTCCAGTGGCCTCTGATCACACATACAATAAAATCCACTCCTCTTTTCTTGGCCTAAAAAGCCTTCTATGATCTTCGCAAATTCATTTCCTGCAATTTTCCATGCCATAATCTTGAGAAACAGTAACCTCCTTTCTATTTCTTAAGCTTGTTAATTTCATACGTATCTTCACACCTTTGCACTGGGTCTTGCTCTGCCTGAAACTTTCCTCCTCCAGATAGCCAAATGATCCACTTCACTTACTCTTCAGTCTCCCTCACATACCAGGCCTTCGCTGAACACCATAAATAAAGTAGCAACTCCAATCCCTTTCTGTTGCCTTGCTCTGCTTTGTTTTTCTTTTTACCACCTGGCCTTGTGTTAAGCAGTTCTTTGCTTATCTGTTTACAATCTGTCTTCCTTATGTTACATTACAGTTCCATAATGGCAGGAACTTTGTCTTGTTCACTTGAAGAGTACTTGTTCATGAAGACTGTGTGTTACATGGTAGGCAGTCAAAAACCATTTATTGTCAGATGAATGGTTTCCAAAGACCACAAAAATACTCCCATTTGTATGTGTTTTGTTAAATACTCCAGGTAACTATGTTATAACATAGATGACACTGATTATGTCAGCAGAGTTTTATCTCTTTTTAAAATTTATTTATTTCTTTTAAAGATTGGCACCTGGGCTAACATCTGTCACCAATCTTTTCTTCTTCTTCTTCCCCCTCCCCCTCTTCTTAGTAGTAATTGAATGAAATAATTGCCAGGAAAAAAATTCCTTGGGTCCTTTTCTCTTTTTTCCAGGAAGTTCTTAGTAGGAACCCAACAAAGCTAACTTCAAAGAAAATACTCAAGCTCTTGCCTTTTCTCCTCCCTTTAGGATGCATGCAGTGAATTTCGGAGCCTTTTGCAAAATGGATATCTCTTCTGCACACGAGAAAATGATCCCGTGCGTGGCCCAGATGGCAAGA